AGTCTAGTCTGTAGTCCAGTATATAGTCTAGTCTATAGTCTAGTCTATAGTCTGGTCTATAGTCTAGTCTATAGTCTAGTCTATTGTGTAGTCTAAATAATAGTCTATAATCTAATTTACAGTCTTGTCTATAGTGTAGCATTCACTGTAGTTTGATTACACACCCTTAGCTCAACAACAGTAATTTTTTTAAGTAATGTTTAACAATTTGATTCAAAATTAGATTTCTCTCAAATCCTTGTCCTCTTTTTAAATGTGTGCATTTAAAATTTCGCCTTAAATAACTATTAATTATGTTTTTTTTATTTTTTCGCCAAAAATGTAGTTTTTTACGCCCCTATATTGGCGTGAATTTATTTTAATTTTACATTTGGCCAAATGTGTAATTAAAAAAAAATAGTAATGCATGTTAACTGGTAATTAAACGCATGTTACTAGTAGCTCAAGTTCACTTTCTACAACAAAAAATACATCACAAAGGGAAATATTTGTTGTTATCAAAATACTTACATAGTATTTTTATTTTTGTTATAAAGAGAAGAATATTAATAATGGTATTCACTGAACAAAGCAAAAGTGTTGAAAGTGGAAAAAGTAAAGGTTTAATAAAACACTTGTAGGGCATTACTTGTGTATTAAAATAAACAAATTTGACATCACTGCTTTTCGTGTCAAAACTTTGTTTATTGTTTGATAACAGTGTTGCCCATTAACACGAGATTTATCATTCACTTTAAAATGTTATACTCAATATAAAAATTTGTTGTTTATGAAGTTTTAACACTAAAAATTAGTTTTATTCACAAATTTGCAAGATTTATGAAAAAGAGAAATGTCTTGTAACAACCTTTAAATTGAATAATCTTAATATTTACACATTTTTCTCAAATATGCATGTTTGTTTGTTTATAGAAAAATCCTCCATGGAAATTAAGTAAAAATTAAATTAATGAAATGATTACAACAGAATTGCACTTAAATGGACAATTACAATGTAAACACGCGAAATATTTTAAACAGATACATATAGACAAATGATAAATATTGAAACTTGAATGTAATTTTTTCATATTATAAAATCAAACTAATTTGAAATTAAATTGGTAGACATAATTTATATTAGAAAATCTAGTTAATATTGTATACATTTTTGTTATTAAATGCTTTGTTAAAGGGAAAATTAATAATTATTTGTGTTTTTTTATGGACTAAATACAACAGTTTTATAAAAACTAGGGCATAAATGAAAATATAGTAGTCCATAGTCTATCTATAGTCTAGTCTATAGTCTAGTCTATAGTCTAGTCTATAGTCTAGTCTATGTCTAGTCTATAGTCTAGTCTATAGTCTAGTCTATAGTCTAGTCTATAGTCTAGTCTATAGTCTAGTCTATAGTCTAGTCTATAGTCTAGTCTATAGTCTAGTCTATAGTCTCGTCTATATTTCTAGGTCTATAGTCTAGTCTATAGTCTAGTCTATAGTCTAGTCTATAGTCTAGTCTATAGTCTAGTCTATAGTCTAGTATCGTATAGTCTATAGTCTAGTCTATAGTCTAGTCTATAGTCTAGTCTATAGTCTAGTCTATAGTCTAGTCTATAGTCTAGTCTATAGTCTAGTCTATAGTCTAGTCTATAGTCTAGTCTATAGTCTAGTTATAGTCTAGTCTATAGTAGTCTATAGTCTAGTCTATAGTCTAGTCTATAGTCTAGTCTAGTCTAGTCTATAGTCTAGTCTATAGTCTAGTCTATAGTCTAGTCTATAGTCTAGTCTATAGTCTAGTCTATAGTCTAGTCTATAGTCTAGTCTATAGTCTAGTCTATAGTCTAGTCTATAGTCTAGTCTATAGTCTAGTCTATCAGTCTATGTCTAGTCTATAGTCTAGTCTATAGTCTAGTCTATAGTCTCTATATAGTCTAGTCTATAGTCTAGTCTATAGTCTAGTCTATAGTCTTATAGTCTAGTCTATAGTCTAGTCTATAGTCTAGTCTATAGTCTATTCCGATAGTCTAGTCTATTCTATAGTCTAGTCTATAGTCTAGTTCTATAGTCTAGTCTATAGTCTAGTCTATAGTCTAGTCTATAGTCTAGTCTTAGTCTAGTCTATAGTCTAGTCTATAGTCTAGTCAATAGTCAGCCGATCTATTGTCTAGCCTATAGTCAACCGATCCTATAGTCTAGTCTAGTCTATAGTTAACCCATCTATAGTCTATCTATAGTCCAGTTTTTACTTTAGTCATAGTCCAGTTTTTACTTTAACCTATATTCTAGTCTATAGTTTAGCATATAGTCTAGTCTGTAGTTTAGTTATACTCTATTCTACAGTCTAGTATATAGTCTAGTGAAGTCTATATTCTATCCTATCTAGGCTATAGTAAAACTATTATGAAAAGTTTTAAACTTGTTATATTCATGTTCTGCTATAAACAATACTGTGATAAATTCTTGTAAATTTAACATAAATTTTACATTAATTATAAATTAAATGCAAAACCCGAACCCAACCTTAAAAAAATTACTTCGAATGAGCTGTTAATGGTCTTAAAAGCCACAATAATTACTCTGAAATATTTTACAGTAAAAAAGCTAAAGTAGTATCTTAAATATACTTATATAAGATATAAACTTCAAGCTTGATCAAACACATATTAAAACAAATATATTTAATGGCTGTTAAGTTTTCTGTAACTAAATTCTACAACAAAATTCAAATCTTAATATCACTTCCTTTGTAAACAAATACAAATAAGGTATTTATTATGTACCCAAGAATGTTTCCAGATGACTGAGCCATCCATAATAAATATATATTTACATGTATTAGTCCCACATCATGGATATCATATGGACATGGTATACATATATCCGGCAGCTAAATAATAAATGCATGCGTTAAAATTGCAAGGTTATTATGAGTAACGCCGCCAATTCATTGAAGAATGAAAAATGTTAAAATAAAGAAAAGAAAACAGTGTTGTACTTGTACGCCTGCTTAATATCCCAGAAATCTTAATTAATTATTATCTTATTAAATACACACACGATGCTTTTATGGTTTTACTAAATTCATTATGACTAACTGATATTTTGCCTGAATTTGGAAAACAAATCCTTGTCTTGTGTTGCTTTTGTATGATTCATCTTTGGGCATATAAATTGTTTGACGTTATAAAGATGATGTTAGTTTAGTAAACAAATTTATCTTTATGTAACAGATTTAATAAGAATGATTTGCTTTAAATCTTAGCAATATTCTAATACACCAGCAACAGTAAGGTTGGAAAAATTAATTTATAATGGAATTGTATATATAATTCAGTAACTAGTCTCGTCTATACTCTAGTCTACAGTCCAGTCTATAGTCTAGTCTACAGTCCAGTCTATAGTCTAGTCTATAGTCTAGTCTATAGTCTAGTCTATAGTCTAGTCTATAGTCTAGTCTATAGTCTAGTCTATAGTCTAGTCTATAGTCTAGTCTATAGTCTAGTCTATAGTCTAGTCTATAGTCTAGTCTATAGTCTAGTCTATAGTCTAGTCTATAGTCTAGTCTATAGTCTAGTCTATAGTCTACTATAGTCTAGTCTATAGTCTAGATAGTCTAGTCTATAGTCTACTATAGTCTAGTCTATAGTCTAGTCTATAGTCTAGTCTAAGTCTAGTCTATAGTCTAGTCTATAGTCTAGTCTATAGTCTAGTCTATAGTCTAGTCTATAGTCTAGTCTATAGTCTAGTCTATAGTCTAGTCTATAGTCTAGTCTATAGTCTATATAGTCTAGTCTATAGTCTGTCTATAGTCTAGTCTATAGTCTAGTCTATAGTCTAGTCTATAGTCTAGTCTATAGTCTAGTCTATAGTCTAGTCTATAGTCTAGTCTATAGTCTAGTCTATAGTCTAGTCTATAGTCTAGTCTATAGTCTAGTCTATAGTCTAGTCTATAGTCTAGTCTATAGTCTAGTCTATAGTCTAGTCTATAGTCTAGTCTATAGTCTACTATAGTCTAGTCTATAGTCTACTAGTATAGTAGTCTACTATAGTCTAGTCTATAGTCCTATAGTCTAGTCTATAGTCTACTATAGTCTAGTCTATAGTCTAGTCTATAGTCAGTCATAGTCTAGTCTATAGTCTAGTCTATAGTCTAGTCTATAGTCAGTCTATAGTCTAGTCTATAGTCTAGTCTATAGTCTAGTCTATAGCTAGTCTATAGTCTAGTCTATAGTCTAGTCTATAGTCTAGTCTATAGTCTAGTCTATAGTCTAGTCTATAGTCTAGTCTATAGTCTAGTCTATAGTCTAGTCTATAGTCTAGTCTATAGTCTAGTCTATAGTCTAGTCTATAGTCTAGTCTATAGTCTAGTCTATAGTCTAGTCTATAGTCTAGTCTATAGTCTAGTCTATAGTCTAGTCTATAGTCTAGTCTATAGTCTAGTCTATAGTCTAGTCTATAGTCTAGTCTATAGTCTAGTCTATAGTCTAGTCTATAGTCTAGTCTATAGTCTAGTCTATAGTCTAGTCTATAGTCTAGTCTATAGTCTAGTCTATAGTCTAGTCTATAGTCTAGTCTATAGTCTAGTCTATAGTCTAGTCTATAGTCTAGTCTATAGTCTAGTCTATAGTCTAGTCTATAGTCTAGTCTATAGTCTAGTCTATAGTCAGTCTATAGTCTATAGTCTAGTCTATAGTCTAGTCTATAGTCTAGTCTATAGTCTAGTCTATAGTCTAGTCTATAGTCTAGTCTATAGTCTATATAGTCTAGTCTATAGTCTAGTCTATAGTCTAGTCTATAGTCTAGTCTAGTCTTAGTCTAGTCTATAGTCTAGTCTATAGTCTAGTCTAGTCTAGTCTATAGTCTAGTCTATAGTTAGTCTATAGTATAGTCTATAGTGTAGTCTATAGTTATTCTATAGTCTAGTGTATAGTTTAAAAAACCTTATTTTTTAAATTTTCAATATCTTGAAATCATTCTCAATACCACTTAAAATAACCATAAATATCACTTACCCGTACTGTGGCCCACCTCACACCAACAATGATCATTTATAAATTGTGGTCCCAAACATATTTCATAACTTTTTCCGTACAACGGACACCATTACACGAACTATCCGAGGCGGTTCCTGGAAAAGAAATAAAACAAAATTATTAAATTTAGAAGGGTTTGTTTATAATATACAATTTCAGATATATTCAATATTGATAATTGGAAAAGGTGTAAAAGTAGAAAAATGGTAAGATTCTATAATAAAATTTGAGATTTCCTGATATTTGTTAACCCGTTATACTACTTAAATTAAAAAAAAAAAAATAATTATATTACTCACCTTCATAAAAACTCTCATTTAATTGCCTCAAAGCGTTTATCGCATCTTGTCTCGTCACCTGATGTTCAAATAGAAATTCTTCATAATTTGTTTGTGGATCTTTGGCTTGTAAATCATTTTTATCACAGAGTATACACGATTGTGGAGCAGCCATGGCATAATGTTGAACTAACAGTAAATAACCCATTAAGAATACAGTGACAAACGAAGAACGGCAATTGTAAGATGATAGAGAATGTAGAACATGTGATAATGTAGTCGTTGTTGGTGTTGTTGTGAGGGTTTCTGCATTTGATGTTGTTGTGGAGGTTGCTGTTGTTATGGTTGTTGTTGTTAAAATATATTGGTTTCTTTGGTTTAGTGTTCTACTTTTTATTGTTGTTGTAGGTTGATAACAACATTGCTTTATGTGATAAAAGTCATCAACATTATTGCCATCACTGATTTCCTCTTGGACATTTTTATTTTCTGTAGTATAGTTGGCAAAGTAGTAATAGTGGTGTTGTTGTTGCTGGTGCTGCTTTGTGTTTTGATTTATCATTTATGATATTAAGATGTTGTTGTTCGTTTATAAATGTTGCCATATTTTATTTTGTATTTGTTTTGTTTATTTATAGACTTTTTCAGTTTGTCACACTTTTATTTAATTTCTTATCACTGTTATTTTAATTTTTTATTTATTTGTTGTAAATTTTAACTCATGACTGTTTTTAGTTGCGTTTTTTATTTAATTATTTTAAATTTATAATTAATATGTACATTTACATTAAGTGTTGTTGCTTTTTTGGGATATATGATATGCTGCCGATGTTGTCGTTAAACTAGAGACAAGGAAAAACATTTTACTAATTTATTATATCAAATTTTTACACATTACATATATAGCTTTTTTGTAGTATTTAAATATAAAAGGCATATAGCATGTACGTCTATGTATATTGGGAAATATTGCAAACAAATTTCAAAATTCTTGTTTATAGCTTACAAATTGACCACTTAATACATATCATTTTTCTAAATAAGCTGAGACTGATTAGAACTAAACTAGAAATGAACTAGAACTGAACTAGAATTGAACTAGAATGAACTAGAACTGAACTAGAATGAACTAGAACTGAACTAGAACTGAACTAGAACGAACTAGAACTGAACTAGAACTGAACTAGAACTGAACTAGAATTGAACTAGAACTGAACTAGAACTGAACTAGAACTGAACTAGACTGAACTAGAACTGAACTAGAACTGAACTAGAACTGACTAGAACTGAACTTAAATGAACTAAAACTGAACTAGAACTGAACTAGAACTGAACTAGAACTGAACTAGAACTGAACTAGAACTGAACTAGAACGAACTAGAACTGAACTAGAACTGAACTAGAACTGAACTAGAACTGAACTAGAACTGAACTAGAACTGAACTAGAACTGAACTAGAACTGAACTAGAACTGAACTAGAACTGAACTAGAACTGAACGAAGAACTAGAACTGAACTAGAACTGAACTAGAACTGAACTAGAACTGAACTAGAACTGAACTAGAACTGAACTAGAACTGAACCAGAACTGAACTAGAACTGAACTAATGAACTAGAACGGAACTAGAACTGAACTAGAACTGAACTAGAACTGAACTAGAACTGAACTAGAACTGAACTAGACTGAACTAGAACTGAACTAGAACTGAACTAGAACTGAACTAGAACTGAACTAGAACTGAACTAGAACTGAACTAGAACTGAACTAGAACTGAACTAGAACTGAACTAGAACTGAACTAGAACTGAACTAGAACTGAACTAGAACTGAACTAAACTGAACTAGAACTGAACTAGAACTGAACTAGAACTGAACTAGAACTGAACTAGAACTGAACTAGAACTGAACTAGAACTGAACTAGAACTGAACTAGAACTGAACTAGAACTGAACTAGAACTGAACTAGAACTGAACTAGAACTGAACGAATGAACTAGAACTGAACTAGAACTGAACTAGAACTGAACTAGAACTGAACTAGAACTGAACTAGAACTGAACTAGAAACTGAACTAGAACTGAACTAGAACTGAACTAGAACTGAACTAGAACTGAACTAGAACTGAACTAGAACTGAACTAGAACTGAACTAGAACTGAACTAGAACTAGAACTGAACTAGAACTGAACTAGAACTGAACTGAACTAGAATGAACTAGAACTGACTAGAACTGAACTAGAACTGAACTAGAACTGAACTAGAACTGAACTAGAACTGAACTAGAAACTGAACTAGAATTGAACTAGAACTGAATTAGAACTGAATTAAACTGAACTAGAACTGAACTAGAACTGAACTAGAACTGAACTAGAACTGAACTAGAAACTGAACTAGAACTGAACTAGAACTGAACTAGAACTGAACTAGAACTGAACTAGAACTAGAACTGAACTAGAACCGAACTAGAACTAAACTAAAACTGAGTACGTTTATGAACCAGTCGAAATTCACTTTTTACTCATTTTTTTTTTGTTTTGTTATTTATTTCAAATTTTTTTATCATTACTTTATTAAAATGTTGATTTATGCACCACTTTAAAAACATATTTTTAGAAAATAATTCATTTTGTTTAATTTCATTTTTTTCATTTATTTAATAAATAAATTTTTTTTTAAAAACACACACTTGATTTCGTTAAAAACTTTGTATAATTTATCCTAAACGTTTTCGTTTACGAGCAAAATTTTCCTAAAGATTTTCGTTATTTTCAATTTTGAAAATTTAGTCATTTCTCCGAGTCCGCTAAACCGTTATAACGCGTCTACACGTCTACTTCCGTTCACGAGCTAAAATATTCTGTATTTTGTATTTCATTTTAATGTAAAAAAAAATCACAATATAATTTGCTGTGTGTGAGTACGCCATTTTTTTACAGTACAACCCCCCCTCTTTTTTTTATTAACAACAACCAAAAGAGCAAAAAACAATTCATTTACACTCAGAATTCTTTTAACACTTGCACTCTCTCACCAAAGTGATAGGTGAGTATACGTAATACCAATTTAGTGATTTTAAGTAAAGTGAAAAATTTTAAAGCTTTCGCAAGTGTAAAATCAGTCTAGTATAGTCTAGTTATAGTCTAGTCTATAGTCTAGTCTATAGTCTAGTCATAGTCTAGTCTATAGTCTAGTCTATAGTCTAGTCTATAGTCTAGTCTATAGTCTAGTTATAGTCTAGTCTATAGTCTAGTCTATAGTCTAGTCTATAGTCTAGTCTATAGTCTAGTCTAGTCTATAGTCTAGTCGATAATCTAGTCTATAGCCCAGTCTATAGTCTAGTCTATAGTATTTATAGTCTAGTCTATAGCCTAGTCTATAGTCTAATCTATAGTATAGTCTATAGTCTAGTCTAGAGTCCAGTCTATATCTAGTCTATAGTCTAGTCTATAGTCTAGCTATAGTCGTCTATAGTCTAGTCTATAGTCTAGTCTATAGTCTAGTCTATAGTCTAGTCTATAGTCTAGTCGATAGTCTAGTCTATACTCTAGTCTGTAGTCTAGTCTATAGTCTAGTCTATAGTCTAGTCTATAGTCTAGTCTATAGTCTAGTCTATAGTCTAGTCTATATCGTCTATAGTCTAGTCTATAGTCTAGTCTAGTTCTAGTCTAGTCTAGTCTATAGTCTAGTCTATAGTCTAGTCTATAGTCTAGTCTATAGTCTAGTCTATAGTCTAGTCTATAGTCTAGTCTATAGTCTAGTCTATGTCTAGTCTATAGTCTAGTCTATAGTCTAGTCTATAGTCTAGTCTATAGTCTAGTCTATAGTCTAGTCTATCTAGTCTATAGTGTAGTCTATACTCTAGTCTAGTCTAGTCTATAGTCTAGTCTACAGTCTAGTCTAAGTATAGTCTATAGTCTAGTCTATAGTCTAGTCTATAGTCTAGTCTATAGTCTAGTCTATAGTCTAGTCTATAGTCTAGTCTATAGTAGTCTTAGTCTAGTCTATAGTCTAGTCTATAGTCTAGTCTATAGTCTAGTCCATAGTCTAGTCTAGTCTAGTCTATAGTCTAGTCTATAGTCTAGTCTATGTCTAGTCTATAGTCTAGTCTATAGTCTAGTCTATAGTCTAGTCTATAGTCTAGTCTATAGTCTAGTCTATAGTCTAGTCTATAGTCTAGTCTATAGTCTAGTCTATAGTCTAGTCTATAGTCTAGTCTATAGTCTAGTCTATAGTCTAATCTATAGTCTATTCTATAGTCTAGTCTATAGTCCTATTCTATAGTCTAGTCTATAGTCTAGCTATAGTCTAGTCTATAGTCTAGTCTATAGTCTAGTCTATAGTCTAGTCTAGTATAGTCTAGTCTATATAGTCTAGTCTATAGTCTAGTCTATAGTCTAGTCTATAGTCTAGTCTATAGTCTAGTCTATAGTCTAGTCTATAGTCTAGTTTATAGTCGAGTCTATAGTCTAGTCTATAGTCTAGTCTATAGTCTAGTCTATAGTCTAGTCTATAGTCTAGTCTATAGTCTAGTCTATAGTCTAGTCTATAGTCTAGTCTATAGTCTAGTCTATAGTCTAGTCTATAGTCTAGTCTATAGTCTAGTCTATAGTCTAGTCTATAGTCTAGTCTATAGTCTGTCTATAGTCTAGTCTATAGTCTAGTCTATAGTCTAGTCTATAGTCTAGTCTATAGTCTAGTCTATAGTCTAGTCTATAGTCTAGTCTATAGTCTAGTCTATAGTCTAGTCTAGTCTAGTCTATAGTCTAGTCTATAGTCTAGTCTATAGTAGTCTATAGTCTAGTCTATAGTCTAGTCTATAGTCTAGTCTATAGTCTAGTCTATAGTCTAGTCTATAGTCTAGTCTATAGTCTAGTCCATAGTCTATTCTATAGTCTAGTCTATAGTCTGGTTTATAGTCTAGTCTATAGTCTAGTCTATAGTCTAGTCTATAGTCTAGTCTATAGTCTAGTCTATAGTCTAGTCTATAGTCTAGTCTATAGTCTAGTCTATAGTCTAGTCTATAGTCTAGTCTATAGTCTAGTCTATAGTCTAGTCTATAGTCTAGTCTATAGTCTAGTTTATAGTTTAGTATATAGTCTAGTATATGGTGTAGTCTATAGACTAGTCTATGGTCTAGTCTATAGTCTAGTCTATAGTCT